AAAAGACAAATATATGATTCCACTTATATGAGATACCTGGAATAGTCAAATTCATAACGACTGAAAGTAGAATGGTGATTGTCAGGGACTGAGGGGGAAGAGGAGTTGGGAATTAGTGTTTTGTTTAATGATGGAGTTTCTGTTTGGGAAGACAAAAAAGCCTTGGAGGTAGATGGTGGTGATGGATGTACAACAATGTAAATGTATGTAATGCCACAAAACTATACTCTTTAAAGTAGTGAAAATGGTCAATTTTCTATTATGTATATTTTACCACACACACACACACACACACAAACACACAAGAATGGTTGGTCCAGACAACCTTGATATTTTGCTTCCAGGTGTCGTCTTGATTATGCAGGTTATGATTTAGAGTCCTCTCTCAAAAGAATCAAATAAGCAATATGCAACTGTAGAATAATGCCATTATATAAGGAATAGAAAACAAAATAAATACAAATATGCGCCTGGGTGGCTCAGTCGATTGGGTGTTTGCCTTCGGCTCAGGTCATGATCCTGGAGTCCTGGGATCGAGCCCCGTGTTGGGCTCCCTGCTTGGTGGGGAGTCTGCTTCTCCCTCTGCCCGTCACGCTGCTCGTACTCTCTCTCACTCACTCTCTCTAATAAATAAATAAAATCTTTTAAAAAAATACAAATATGCCCTTCTAACTATTAGAAACACCTGAATCAAATTTGAAGTAATGTTTAAAAACTCTCTCCTTTATAGATTTTTTAAAATTTCTCAGATAATAATGTTACTTTTATATTCCATATAGAAATGGCTATTTCTCTGTAGCCACAGTAGAGATCAAGTCTTAGAATTAGAATCAAGGGCAAATCCTGATTTTTGTCTGAGCTGGGAATGTGTCTATTCATCTTTCTTTCTTGGACAGTTGTGCTCCAGAATAAGGTCATCTATTTCTCTTCCCCTGCTCCAGAACCAGTCCATTCATACTCATATTCATATTTATTTTTTTCATTTTATCTACCTGTCAATCTTTCTGAAAGTCTTCCATGTGTCGGGGACTGATAGTCTTCCTGTCTGTGTATGCTCTTCAGAAACATACTCAGTTGAGTTTAATATCTAATGTGCCCTCTTAAATCCTTTGGAAAGGTCTCTTCTAGGGTAGAATATTGTTTACACTAACCTACAGTAAAATTGAACCCAGAAAAATTAAGTGCTAATGGGATGGGATGATGATGTTTAGGATGAATATTTTTTCTTTGATTTATTTATATTATGTGATGAAAAAGAAACCTTAACCCTATTCAGAATGCTTCTATTTTTAATCCCAAGAATGATACTGAATGACAAAACCCACCTTCTTCTTTTAATACCTCATAAGGATATACTGATTAAAATCAGATGGTTCAAGGACACATCACCAAGTTTCTTCCTATGGCTGTGGCAGATGACTCTTTGAAAGTCTTGAAGAAAAAAAAAAATCATCCTGATTCTGTTCTTGGGGTATGACTTGGGAGACTCAATACATCAGATGTTCTGTTGCCAGAATGGACCCAAAGGTGATTCTTGAGGGAAATGATGACTCAGCTCTACGAATCCCTGATCTTGCCTTTCAGTACTGGGGAGATGCCCTATACTACTGAGGTCAAAATCTGTGATCAGCTTCATAATTTCCATATTAGGGATTAACCTTACCATATAAACCTTTACTTGATTGGTATCTATAACCTGTGGGCCCATATTTAAGCAGCAACTGAGAATAGTAACACTCTAGGCCATCTTTAGAGAACATAGAGCCTCAAAAGTTCAGCTCCTCATCTTCCAATTTCCAGCTTAGATAATTAATATTTATGGAAGATGGACTTGAAAGATATTTGTCTCCCCCTTTTCCAGCCACTCTGAATTCTTTCTATCAAGTTGAATATCTATCAAAGACCTATACTGCCTCAGTCCATCACAGAATTGCTATGACTGAGTTGGCTTTTTAATATTATGCCTCTAGGTTACAGTTGCTATAAGAAATTGTGATTTTAAGAAATATGGTCAAAGACATTGTCTAATAAAATCTCCTTTATAAAATATCCTTGAGAAACAATTTTCGAATAGCTCTGCTTTGCCCTGGGACCTGGTATGCTATGCATAATAAAAACTATATCTGATTTTCCCCCTTGGCTACTAGGAAGCTCAGAGCTAAATACACACACACACACACACACACACACAGGTATATATATACATATGGAAACAAACAAGTTTTTAATGTTCTTTAATTCCAGTTCCTTGAATTTGTTTTATATTCTTTCTTGTTTATATAAGTGATACGATGTGATCTTTTAAAAATTTCCTAAATTACCTCACAAATAATTCCCTGCAGATGTTCCCTCTTCCTTTTGGGTGTTTCTAATTTGCCTACAAATTGGATTCTGTCTAGCAACCAATGTCGCCAAACTGAGAAAAAGAATTGACAGTTTTTCATACTCTATTTACAGAGTAAGAATTAATCACCAGTGCTGAATGCAATTGTGGCAAACATTCCTTCCCTGCAAATTCTCTGTGGCTTGAGAATACCCAGGCTAACTGGTCCTGGAAATAACTGGAATGCAACTGGATTTTTATGTTGCAAATAGTTATGCTTCCAGGTGCAGGACTGGGCAGTGGGGACTTCTGCAGGTATAACAGCCTAGAAAAAGGACTGCTAGAAGAAAGAACTAACCTTATTAAGGGCCCACCTGGTGCTAGCGTATGTTAGCTTTCTGCTACTGGCAGATATGCTGGAGGTGGCTCTTACCCACTCACAAGAGCTAACTGTAAAAATTTCAAGAGTTTTGTGAGCCAGCTGGTGTTATGTTGATTAAACTAGACCATGGTAGTACTTACACCACGTAAATTGGCAGATGTCACAAACCAGCCCCTATATCCCCAGAGAGCTGGTTGGTAAACACTTACCTATCCACCACCATTGTCTGGATTATTACTCAAAATTAGCAAGGAGATAGGCATTTCTGTCCTCATTTTATAAATGAGGAAATAGACCCCCCCAAAAAAATCTTTAGGCTTTAGGGAGAAATTACAGAGAGGGAAAAGTTCTGTAAGAGAAACTGCCAAAGCAGGAATAGGTAGAGGCACAGTGCTAACCAAAGGGCTATATGCAGAGGGAAAAGGTCCTCTTCAGAGGAAAGTAGTGAGATAATGGGAGGAGACTGCCAAGCTGAGGTTCAGAAGGCTGTGAGGAGAACAATTTCAGTGAGGGACTAAGAGACCAAACAAAAAGGCATCCAAGGGGAGCGCAAGTCTCCTTCACCTCTTCCAACTCTCCACTTCTCCCTACCTAGGTTGGAGGAATCACTTTCAAAGGTAAGAAATTCCACTACTGCCACCCTCCAGTAGAAAGGGTTTGCTCAAGCTTGAAGACAAGAATTGGGCTATGTCTCCCAGGAGGTGAAGCTTTCAGAAAAGTTAAAAAGTCAATACACAGCAGTATATTTCTTTTCCTTCAGAGGTACTTCTTATCAAGGACTGGAATGAAAAGGGCTCTTGGCTGTTCCCAGCACCCCTAGCCACCTTCCTCCCTTTTGTGGCCCCCTCTTTCATCTTCCAGCAACTAGATTCAGGGCAAGGGTGTTGGCCTAAAAAAGTCCAATATGGGCCTTAAGTGCCAACTCAGCTATAGGGCAACCAGGTGAATTTCTAGTTTGTTCTCAATTTAGGTTTGGAGCTAAATAACCAAGTATTACTCTGCCAGGCATTGTCCTGGCATGTTATTTCCCTCAGGACCCTTAAGGGGAAGAGTAACTGTGGTCTGGGCCACGGTAAAGTTTAGCCTGGATCCATGGTACCGCCCATTGTTGTTTTCCCAGAGATGATAGGAATGAAGAGCTTGTATAGTTTATAAGTGGCAAAGCCAGATTTTAAACCAGGTGCAATTACTACAGGGCCTGTGCTCTATCCAGGGAGCTATTTCTGTGACACTGGGCTGAGCCAGGAGACTTGGGAGAAACTCTCCTGCTGGGGTCCCATAGGAGAGTTGAACCTCCCTTCTCACATGCTGATCTATTCTCTGAAAAAGGGAGAAAGAGTGTGAAGGCAGACAAAAGCCCTTGTTTCTATGCATGATATCTTAAGTAATTAATGAGATAATGTATATACATTATTTAGTCAATAACTGCCTCTTGACTGATGGTAGCTAATTTTGCAATATACTACTAAACTATGATTATAATAATGCTTCATCTCCAGGACCAAAATATGAAATTTGAATTATGAGTAGATCAAGGAGCACCTCTTCTACCTCTGCTCAAATATTTTATCTTATTCTAGAGTAATTAAGAAGAAACTGGCACTGGGATTCAAAGAGTCCCCCAGCTGTTCAAAATGTAATGCAAATGATGCTATCTTCAATATTTCCTTGGGATTTCTTGAATTTCTAACTTCAGTTTATAGAGGAAAGCCTTTAGCAGAGACATCTAACTGCTGTCTCTCCTTCTTCTGACATTAAGAAGCCAACTATGGCAGATCCCAATGGGTGCGCCTACCCAATAGCCAGCTCCTTCTTCTGGCTTACAGATTCCTGATCTCACCCATGTAGAGGAAAGCAATATATGTAGGAAAGACTCCCCAGTTCCAGGGATGAACAGTTATTAGTCTAAACCAAACATAGTAATCCATTCCCCTTTATCACAGGTTGGTTTAGAAGTGTGTATTTCACCAAATTCTGGCCAATGGCATCTTTTTGTTGGCACTACTGAAAAATTGGACAGAAATGTATGCAAGAGAAACTTCTTTCTTTTTTTGCATGTGGAACAGTAGCTGCCATCTTAGCACCACAAAAAAAGGCCAAGAAGATAATAGAAAAGCTGATCCCAAGTCCTGACATTGTTAAATCAAAGAACTAACCCTGAATTTTCTACCTCAAGGTTTATTATCATATGAGAGAAAAATAAATCCTATTATTTAAATCCTTCGTAGGCATCTACTCTACAACTTGCAACCCAAATCATCTTAACCAATATACCTTATTATTTTACAAACTTACCCCAAAATCCCCGTGAAGTGGTGGCAAGAAAATCCCATTGAAGGAACAGTGGGAGTAAGGGCAGTAACTGGTGTTGAAGAGTTGAAGAATGCTTTGCCGGCATTGTTGATAGTTTCCAGTGCCCTGAATTTGAAACTGATCGAATGGAAGAGTCATCTCAAATCTCTTGGTGCAGGGGCTACTGTAGAGATCACTTACATTCATTACTGTCTCGTATCCAGGGTGAAAGCATGGGTCCCTGAGGATTCCGTTTGTACCCTGAATGGAAAAATCACTTGAAGACATCATGTGCAAACGTGTTGGGTACAAAAAGCACCACTCTGACTTCCTTAATGTGTAGGAATTTTATAATAGCTTTGGCACCAATATGCCCCTGCCATGCCTTTTTCACCCTTGGGAACAGTCAGATTTGTATAATAGCCACCAGAAATGGTATCAGATGTGAATCAACTTTCGCTATTCATAGAAAGCTAATAGAGATGAAGCTGGCAGAAATGCCATTAGTTTGGAAAGGCCACTAGTGCTTAGTATGAATGAAATACATAGGTCAGAAGCAGATTCACAAGGAACACTCTCAAGGCTCTCACAAGTCTGAGCCGGGGGTAGTTCCCCAGGAGGAGTCTGCCCATACCCCAACCCCACCTCCAAGCAAAAAATCAGAAGCAACATGCCTTGAAAGCGCCTTAGATCACTTAACCCGGGAGTATCAAAATGATTTTTAACCCACAACCTAATATGTTCAAGAGAAGAAAGGGGGCTGCTGTGGATAAAAGGCTTCGTGGAGCCTTGGGGCTCAGTAGGCATCTCTCAGCATCGCCTACGCCAGTGGGGGTCACCTTACTGACAGTGCTTCTGAGAACCAGAGCAGGAACTTCGGAGGAGAGCAGAGAACTGGTTGTCCTTTCGGTGGAGACAGGGAACAGCTGGATGTGACAGCCTTGCTCTGTGTGTGTTTGTCAGGGTGTGCCTGGTACTCACATGATTTTGACTGTGTTTAACTTTTCTTGTCTTCAGAAGACAAAAAGCGTCTGGGGACAAGACATGAAGTGTTGATGGATAAACTCTGCGTTTTCCCTGAGTGTTTTCTCCTCCCCTCCAGGTTGTTTCTAACAACCCTGTTTTCTGTGGTTGTAGGAAATGGAGACTAAAAAGTGCTAAAGAAATGCAATATATGTTAAGAAAAAAGAAGAAGAAGAAGAAGATAGCAGGAGGGGAAGAATGAAGGGGAGTAAGTCGGAGGGGGAGACGAACCATTAGAGACGATGGACTCTGAAAAACAAACTGAGGGTTCTAGAGGGGAGGAGGGTGGGGGGATGGGTTAGCCTGGAGATGGGTATTAAAGAGGGCACATTCTGCGTGGAGCACTGGGTGTTATGCACAAACAATGAATCATGGAACACTGCATCAAAAACTAATGATGTAATGTATGGTGGTTACCATAACAATAAAAAAATTATTAAAAAAAAACAAAAAAACTAATGATGTAACGTATGGTGATTAACATAACATAACAAAATAAAAATACTAAAAAGTGCTAAAGAGCTTATAAATTACACACCTGTCCCAACAATGCTCGAGCATGTAATTTTCACTGTCAAGCCCCCAGGGGTGAGAAATTATTTGCAAGAAAGGATTTGAGTTGTGTCCTTGGAGACAGTGCAGTACAACAAACACAGGAGGTGATGTCTAGATGGGACAATTCACAGGGGTCGACCAGATGTAGTTAGATACCCTGCTTGTGAAGGTTTGGAAAGTACAGTAACCAAGTTCAGACCAGTTACTGAAGTAAAAAGAGACAACAACAGGATGTGGGGGCTGGTGGCCCAGATGTGGGAAGGGTGGGTCTGGATTCAGTTATACTTGCCTGAATGTCCTTGGCCAGTTTCTGCCTGAGTGCTTGATCCTTCCCATAGCACAAGAAGCTGTGTGTGTACACGCTGTAGTCCCTGCCATAAAGGCGGAAGTGCAGAGCATTGCTTGGAGACTCGATCTTCTTGTTTGGGGGCACAAAAGTGATTTGTGTAGAGGCTCCCCCAAGGTCTAAAGCCCCGTAGGTTTCAAGAGCACTGTCTTCATTTGGTTTCAGGTTGAGCCAACTCAATTTCTGAAAGAGAGTACAGTTACCAGTGGTAGCGGGCTCTGGACACCCACTTCACACTCTATCTTGGACTCGGGGACTTGCTAAGGTGAAGGAAAGGGGGCATAAGGTGACACAAAGCTCACTGGATGCTCCTGAGTCTGCATCAGATCAACAAGAAACATCAGATCAGCAGGAAAAGAGGGGCTTCAAAGATAGAGCTCAGACTGCAACGACACAGAATTGGCATAGCCAGTGTTTACAAACAAGGAGTCTGGGCTGAAAAGACTCAAGTTCAAATCTCCACTCATTTGCTCAATAGCCATGTGACACTGAGCAATAACTACCTTCTCTAGGCCTCAATTTGAGACTCGAAAATGAGAGAATTCCTCATGTAGTTGCCCTGAAGAGGAAATCAGACGGTAATGAAAAGTGCTTAACACAGCACAAGACACATAGCACTAGGCAAATATTAGCTATTCTTATTTTTAATGATAGATTTTTAATTTCCTCTATGCTCCCTAAGGTGAAGATATGATTTCCTTCTTCCCCAGTAAGAAAAGTTCTTGTAATAAAGTTCTTGCAAATGTGGGGATAAATTAATGTGTCCATTCATCCAACATTCATTCTGGCTACAGATCCAAATACTGCCTGAGATACAAATGGCACTGACCCCCAGGGAGCCACCTCCCTGGGGGCTTCGAGATAATCACCTGCGTGAATTTGCCCAGCAGATAGTTGATAGTAATCCAGCCGTAGGCCCCCTCCTCTTGGCCGGTGATGATTCTGGCACCCTGGAAATCAAAGTGGTAATTGCTGAGGCTCCTCGCCACCGCAGCCAGGACCTTGTCTGCCAACTGTTCATTTTCTATCCTGCACAAAGGAAGAGCTGCGTTTACCAGTTTCGTTTGAATAACTACAAGTACTCAGCTTTCGGCAGTTCTCCTAGCAAGTGAATCATAACTCCCTGGAATAAACAGAGACATGGAGATTCCCACACATGGCTGTCTGAGGATCCCTGCTTTTGGGTGAGGCAGAACTAGTCTTTTGGCCCTCCTCTCCTCTCCAAGTCCAAATCCTTCCAGTCCCTACATAGGCTGCTCTTCCTAAAATACCATTTTTGTTGTTACTCTCTGGCTCCAAAATATTATCTGAGTAATGTTCATTTTTGTGGTGGTGGTGGCTGGCTGTTATTTAATCATCACACCTAGAGATGACGCATGCTACACCTAGAGATGATGAATGCTACATTAGCCATCGCTGGTGGCTTCCAGCTGGTTCCAGAGTCAGGCTCTGCTTGAGGTTTTTAATTATGGCTGTAGCAGATACCAGGTGGCAAATGTCCTGGGACAGATACCCAACTTCCACTGGGGGGCCAGACTGGGAAAAACATCTTCCTCATATTGTACCTCAGTTCTTGGGTCTGAGATGTTGAGACCTAAAGAAGGAATCTTCCAGGGTTGTCCTAGTGAATATGGGATGCAATTACTTCCAACATTGAGAGCCTCTGGGTCAGAGGATGCCGTCTTCCAACCAGCGTTGAACCCTCTCACCACGCATCTGAATAGCTTCACAGCCTACCCCTGGCCTCCCCATCCCCAGTTTTCTTCCCTATCCCCTACCCCCAATCCACCTCTCCCTCAGTGTGACCATTTGTGTACCACCCTGTAAGAGCTTCCCATTCTCTCTCAGATGAACACCAAATTCCCAGCGTGGCCCACAAGGCACTTTGTGAGCTGGACCCTGCCTCTTCCGAATTCCACTCAGAATCCTGGCTCTACCACTTTACCAGGCATGTGACTGACCTTGGGGTGACTTACTCAACATTTGTAAGCCACGGCTTCCTTATCTGGTTAATAAAAGTTAATAACTCTTCATAGAGTTTGATGACTAAATTAAAGCACAGTGCTAACAACATAGTAAGGGCTCAACAAATACAAGCTGCTTCATCATCATTATTACTATTTTTAGTATATGTAGCCTATGTTCTATTTATGTGGAACTATATATGGTCCTCTGAGTATGCCCTGGTCTCTCACTCATCCCGGCCTTCGCGTGTCTGTTAGAATGCAGGCTCCAGGAAGGCGGGGACTCTGTCCTCTTCACTCTGTACCCCCAGCATCTGGAGCAGCGTCTGCCACACAACAGATGTGGAAGAAACACAGGTAGTGGAAGGCGTGATGTCTCCTCTGCCTCTAACATGCCCTTCCTCCACCCTCCAACTCCTCCTCTGTGATTCAGCTCATGTGTTCTCTCCCGCCATTCTGGGCAGGGCCAAGTATGCTCCCATAGCAGCTCTGAGCACTCCTCTGTTAAAGAATTGATGGCCTGTATTGACACTCTGATCTCCTTGACAGCTGAGTCGCCTACTTTCATGTCCTAGGACAGAGTAGGCAGTCAATACAAGCTGAGTGAATGAATGAACAAAGAAATTATGCACACAGGTACTAAGTGGTGACCAATGAAGATGTGCTAGTTGTGATTATTTGTGTCTTGGGACATCTGTGGGTCTCCTCTGGTCTTTCTCCTCCCAGATACTGGATGGCTAAATTGGTAGCCTCAAATCCCAGAGTACATAGGCTCAACATTTCTCTTTGTGCCCCTTCCCCCTTGAATTCTCTGTGGGGAGATGGGCAAGAAGACTTTTTTTTTTTTTAATATACTTAAACTCCTACCATTACACATACCAAATGTTTGGGAGTTTTACCCACTTACTGAGATTTTCTTTCTCAAGTGTGGACCGTTAGGATGTTTAGAATGTGGGGTGTTAGGGAAGCATGGTGCTATCCCATAACTTCAAAGGCTCTCACAGTACCCAACCTAACCCCCAGACACTCTGTGTCTCCACGTGCTGCTATACCTGAGCAAGCGCATGCCTGCCGTAGCTCCCAGGTAAACGGGGGTCTCCTGGTGCTGGGACTTTGGAACCACTTGAGTGGCTCTTATCATGCATGCAGTCAGATAAATGTCTATTTCACTTAATTTTTGAGCATATCTTGAGATTCCAGGACCTAAGGAAAGATGTAGAAGCAGATGACAATTGTTTTTAAAAGTACAGGACACACCTGGACAATATTAGAGCAAAATAGTGGTGTTTTCTGAGAAAAATCAAAGAAGACAATTTCTTGATGTGATATAGATTAGGTTGCTATACTTAGAGGGTAACTCTCTGAACCTGGCCTTGGTAGGATCTGTTTTCAGACCTCAGGCTGGGTCTGTCCACCGTTCAATAACTTTGCCGCTGGATGGCGCAATTTTCACATTTAATTGCATAACGTCCCTAACAGGGTCTCTCACATTTTAAGGCGGATAACTAGAATTTAAATAAAAAATTGAATTAAAAAAATTAAATGGGGATCTTATAGATAGTTACCCTATATATGTGCTTTTTCATGTTTCTTCTACAAAACTGTAACTAACACCACTAATTCCTAGAAGACCTAAAAGGAGAAATAAGAAATTTAGAACAAAAATTAAAATAAGCACCAGGCACACTGAAGAGATAGTAACCGCTGCTAACTAGCTAAGTGATCATGGCCAGTCCCCTGAAATTTCTGAAGCGGAGTTTCTTCCTTTGTTAGAATAAACAGGTATAGAATCCGTGTCTCCTTAGCAATTTTTCCACTCTGAAAATACTGTTTTCCCTAGTACAACTGTTTTTCTAGTTCCAGAGCAAAAGTGTTGCTCAGAAGAGGATTAGAGCTAAGATTCCTTAAGTTTTTTTGAAGTTATGGTTAACAATCTCAGCTCACTTTAAAATGAACACCTACACTTTAGTGAAGATGTGCATTAAAGATAATTGTCCAGATATGTGATCCATATCTTTCACAGGTTTTTAAAAAGCCGGTTTGTTTAACAGTAATGAAAAGGTCAGCTCTAAGTTATCAGGTAACTGTTTTGATTCAAAAATTCTGGCCTTCAAGAACTGGTGGCCTTCCACTCACCTTTCATCTAAATATCTGATTAGAGAACTCTCTCTCTTTTGAGAGGGGAAAAGTCCTGCACTTCTTCAGCCAGACATACCTGGGATGAGTCTCAGAAAAAAAGATAGCTGCTAAATTTAAAAAATACCAACATTTTTTTAAAAAGGGAAAACAGTGAATTAAATAGAAGCCAATAAAACGAGGGATTTGGGCTTTAAGAAATGCTCAGTGTACTGTCTCAGAACGAATGGGACCAATGTCTGCGGATATCAGGCTACTGGGTAAAATGACTTGCTCTCTTGGAAACATCTCCTCTCTACTGCTTTCTTGGCAAACTTTGAAAATTGGGGGACCTCACAGGCCATCAAAGTAAAAGTCAATCTTCTGGGAGCTAGGTTACCTGTCTGACTAAAAATAAATAGTGGGATGCTGCCGCAAAAGGCCCAGGGAGATGAGCGGGTCAGAGAGAGGGTGGTGCCCTGCGGTAACATTTGCATGTGGCCGTGCTGAATGGAGGGAGTGCAAAGGGCTGAACTGACATTAACCTGTTCTGTGGCCTTGGAAGGAAACAAACTAGGGGGAAAAAATCCATCTGTAATGCGGCGATTCAGAGTAGAAGGAAGCCTGGAGTGCGGTAAAGAGACCTAGACTCTTGCCCAGGGTCTGTCGCTGCTTGTAAGTCACTAGTCTCCCAGGTTTTTTTCCTTCTCTGAAAACAAGATTTAAATGATCCACGAGGTCCTTTTCCCAGCCCTAGGAATCTATGATTTGGCCTCCCCTGCCCATACGAAAGCTAAAGGCTTTTGAAAATTTCTTCTAAGCTGTAGCTTAGAGGACAAAGACTAAGAGCAACAATTCTTTGGACCAACAGCTTCAACATCACCTGGGAACCTGTCAGAAATGCAAATTCTGGGGCCTGAACCGGACATACTGCATCAGAAATTCTGGGGGTGGGGCCCAGCATCTGTGTTTTAACAAACCCTCCAGGTGGCTCTGCTGCAGATTCAAATTTGAGAACCACTGGAGAAGTCATGGGTTCAAAGTTGGGCAGATCTCCATTTGAACCCCAGTTCCATCACTTACTAGCTCAAGCAACCTTAATGAGTGGCATCACCTCCCTCTACATCAGTACCCTCATTTTTAAAAAATGGGAATAGTAAGACATATCTCCCAGGGAGACTGTGAAGATGAAATCATGTATTTTCAGTACTTGGTGCATGGCCCACAGATGTGTCCTGTTGACAGAAGCCACTATGACTCGACGACTTTTACATTTGTTTCTTCTTCAAGGGCTCCCTCATTCAGGACTGATTTCAATATTTGTACAGTGACAATAAAATAACAGCAGCAGCTGCTCCACTATGTTCTTCACTGAACTTCCTTTTTCTCATGTGTTCCCCCGCCTGCCATCCATGTTCTCACATACGTTCCTCTCATGCCCCACTGTCTCCTTCCCCTTTTCCTTCACCTTACCTCTCAGCTTGCACTCTGTTATCTGACGCACCACCCCCGTGTCATTCTCCTTTTCTGCTGGCCACTTATAGATGTACAAACTTGTGTGAGAAGAGCCTGCGTCGAGCACAATCCCGTACTGAGGGTAAAACAACAAATCAAGAACTTATCAGGATTATATTATGTTTCTCCATACTCACCTTGCAACAGAAAGGAAACAAAGACAAGAGTGTTCAAAAACATGAGGAGACATATTTTAATTCAAGAGGAACATGTGGAGAGGGGAGGGGTTGCCTGGTGTTGCCCTGATCACAAAAACTACCAGGACACCAATCCCTCTAGAATAGTGGCTCTTAGTGCCAGCGTGTGGCCTTAGGCCTTACCCACAGTGGGGCCTGAGCCTCATTACTGATTAGAAGCTTCTCAGGTGATTCTGATGGGCGGCCAGGAATCAGAACCAGATGCTGAAGCAGCTGAGACAACATGGAGGGAATAGAAAGCCATGAATCCAGTAGTTCCCACACTGGAATCGTCAGAATCACCTGGAGAGCCCCCAAAGCTAGAGATGCCTGTGTTCTATCAGATATGAGATTTAACTGGTCTGGTGTGTGGCCTGGGCTTTAGAAGAGAGACATGGAAAATACTAAGCATGCTTGCTTTTTCATTATGAATGTAACTAATCATTGTATTGAATAAATTTTAAAAGATACGTATTTTCATGTTCAGGGCTCCTACGACTGAGGGGGGATGAAAGGAAGAAAAAAGGAAAAAAGAAGGTGGGAAGAAAGAGGGGGTAAGACAGTATGAGAAAGAACTCATTGGTCAGAGGGGAAAGGGCAAAGAACCAATTCCTCACAACACATTTCACAAGAACATTAAATGTACCAGGCAGGTGTTGCACAAAGCTTTTCATGAGAATTATCTGGTTTAACCCTCAGAGCAGTGCTGTAGGGTAGGTACTCTGTTCATCCCTGCTATATAGGTGAGAAATTAAAGTACAAAGAGGTTAAGTAGTTTACTCAAGATGCACAGCTAATAGGCGACAGAGCCTGGATTTGGATCAGAGTCAGACCCAAGACCTTATGCTCCATATACCAAGGGCAGAACAACCGTTTTTAAAGACTTTTAATGAGGGATAACTACAGCAAAGCACATCCCAGTGAATTTTTGCCTATGTGCATGTCCGTATACACCACACCACCAAGATCAAGATCAAGATTCAGAACATTTTCTATTGCCCCTCTCAGTCAGTTCCTCCTGAGGGTAACCATTGTCTTGATTTCTATCACCGCGGCTGAGTTTTGCCTATCTTTGAGCTGCACAAAGGGACTCACACAGTGCGCCTCCTTTATGTCTAGCTTCTTTTGCTCTACCCTATCTCTTAGATGCCTCCAGACTGCGTGCAGCCATAGTTCATCCCTTTTCGTCGCTGTAGAATATTTCCTATTTTATTATATGTACTGTATTTTTATCCATTCTTCTGTTGATGGACATTTGAGTTGCTTCCAGTTTGGGACTATTGGGAATATAGTCATCAGGAACATCCTTGCACATGTCATTCTGTGGATATAAGCTCTCATTTATTTTGGGTATTTACCTAGGAGTAGACTGCCGAATGCCCCTCTTGATCATTTGATGTCCATCTTTGGTTACATCCCTAAGTTTAAACAGGAAAAATGCCACGGTTGAGTAACAGTGTCTGCCATGGGCTTGTGAGGAGAGCATGATGGTACCCGTACTTTAATTTATCATCCCTCTACTAGAGAGAAACATGGAGGAAAGTAAATGGGGAAGCAGAAGGAAGAGAAAAAGGCATGTCTAAAATGTGAGCCAACCACTCTTCACCACACTTCACTGCTGTGGACCTCCAAGTGCCACCTGCCTCTTGATAATACTTAACTCAGCAGTTGTTTGATATATATCCTTCCATACTGTCTTACCACCTGGTAAGAACCTAAGAACTTCCAGGGAGAAAAGAAGACAATGAGGATTCAAGAGACCTCCCTGGACCACTGGCAAAAGCTGAAAGCTGAGTCTGCTGAGGTGTCAAGCTTTATTCTGTTTCTCCAGATTAGGAGAGTATCAGTGTGCAGCAGAGGGCAGATCCTTGGCCTTCCGTAACCTCATGTCCTCGGCCTAGTTAGGCACAGCAGGACTCCCCATGGCAATGAGCATTATGACCTCAAAAAGAAAAAGGCCTGGGGCGCCTGGGTGGCTCAGATGGTTAAGCGTCTGCCTTCGGCTCAGGTCATGATCCCAGGGTCCTGGGATCGAGTCCTGCATCAGGCTCCCTGCTCCTTGGGAGCCTGCTTCTCCCTCTGCCTCTCTCTCTCTCTCTCTCTGTCTCTCATGAATAAATAAATAAAATCTTAAAAAAAAAAAAAAAAAGAAAAAGGCCTGTATACTTGGCGAGAAAGCAAGCTGGACAGACTTCTCTGCAAACAGGCTTGCAGTGAGAGGAAACCAGGAACTGACTTAGGTAGTGACTATCGCAGGCCCATTGGGGAATGCCTCGGGTCTGGGGCCTTTGGAACCATGGGCAGCCTCCTGGGATGGAGAGAGAGGCTCAGGGGTTACACAGAAAATTCTGTTGTTCCCTAGCAGGGTCTGTGAATTCTTCCTGCCAGAAAATGTTCCAACCACAGCGCCCTATGATAAAATCTGAGACAGCAGCAGCAAGCAGCAGCCTTTATCTGGGATCAGGACATTCTAGTCTGTCTTTTTTGACATGAAAGCCACTCTTCCCTCAGAGCAAAGGAATCAGCCTTGCTTCTACCAGCCTGTTTCTTGAAGGCCTTACACAGTGAGGTGGTTGCAAAATGAAAGTTTCACTCCATTTGGCTTGGCAAGTGTTTGAGGGGGAGGCAGTGTATACTGTAACCCAGGAACTGAGGGCACTCCACCTTGTGTATACAGCAGGCTGGAATGCTAACCTGCCCAAATGTGCCAAATATTTTTTTTCTTCAGAAATGGTTTGCAGCTTGAGGGACAGATAAAAGCTTGATTGTGTAAAAATTCTGTTTGAGCATTTTGGAAGTTTGCCTTCCATTGTTACAAAACTGTCAGCATATTTACTCATTTTCATAGCTGGCCCATCATAGAGCTATAAGTTCATTCCATGTAATCTTCTTATTTGAGAGCTGAGAGATTGTGTCCGGTATAGTTCAAGGATCTAACTAAAAGTACAGATGGTGAAAGCCTTCGAAGACCCATCTAGAGCCCGGGTAGCCACCATCTTTTGTTCCTTTTCACCATACCAGCATTTTCCAATCATGTTCCAGAGAACACTAAGCCTGCAAGGATCTAGGCAAATAAGCCTTCCCAGGAGTTTGGGGGATGCTGAGTGCACTCACTCTCTCTCTCGCTCTCTCTCTCTCCCCTGGGCTCACAAACCCATTAGGTAGTGAATGCTTCAGAGAGTCTGGCAGTAGAGAAACTTGCCTTTGTTTGAGCCAGCATTCCCCAGACTCCATGACAACAGAATTCTGTTTAAAATAAAAATCTCTACCCAACAGAAATGCTTTGACCAATGCTGTGCTTTGCACCATGCTATCACTCCTATCCAGTGTTTCTCTGTAGCTCATATTTAAAACACTTCTAAAAGCCCCTGTGAGTACATTGTTCACATTAAAGAAAAATCAAAAGATGTGTGGTGATGAAGAGATAAGACATTCCCCTAATATTATTTCAATATTACTTCCTATTTTAAGACTACTAAAAGTTTACTAAATAGCATCTATAAAATGAAGGGAAAAGATCCTACCAACTAGACATCACTGTTATTTTGATTTATCTCCTTCCAGTCTTTCCTAAATAAATTTTTATATGGCTGCAATCTTACTGTGTTTATACAACTTCATCCTAAGGTAGTTTTTGATCATGCACATGATTTTAGCAATCATAACTGATCTTCATAAGCTATGGTTGAGTGAACAGAAGCAGTGTTCCAGGAAAAGGAACAATAAAAATGACCTTGCTTTGTTCATGGAGACACCAATGCAGGGCCTTTGGTATAGACCTGGAGATGTGGGTGGCCACAGACCCTGAGCTCACAGAGACTGGAGGCCATGGGGAGGTGGGCCAAGATTCTCCTTAAGATGGAAGTAATTCTAGGGGTGCCTGGGTGGCTCAGTCATTAAGCATCTGCCTTCAGCTCAGGTCATGATCTCAGGGTCCTGGGATCGAACCCCATATCAGGCTCCCTGCTCAGCGGGAAGCCTGCTTTTCCCTCTTCCACTCCCCTTGCTTGTGTTCCCTCTCTCGCAGTCTCTCTCTCTCTGTCAAATAAATAAAATAAAATAAAAATCTAAGATGGAAGTAATTCCACCTGTACAAATGTCATAGGTAAATGAGTAAATCTCCCTAGATGTGGAAAGAAATAGAAAACTTGAGCATCATATGATCTACTTCTATTCCTGGCTCTGCAGAAGTGGGATGTTCAACCCTGTGAGTCTTCTCACTCAGAAAACACCTCCCCTGACACTGGCCAGCTCTCAGTTCCCTATAAGCCACATAGCTTCTGTTCCAGAGCCTTAAACCAGAATGCCCTTCACCTGAGATCCCAGTCTTCTATGACCTTTTCAGATTTGACTCTACCCTCCTAATCCATGGCTCAGGGTACCTGTATTTTTGCTCCAAAGACAGCACTTACCATCATGCATAACTACATGTCTATGTGGCTATTTGATTAATATCTGTCTTCCCCATAAGGATGTGAGCTACATTATTAGGGCAGGTTTGTTTTGCTTACCATGGTATAGCCAGCATCCACCACAGGATATCCTACCACATGTTAGGCATGAAGAAGAAATTCAACAGACAATTGTTGAATCAAATGAATGAATGGGGGGGGGTTAGAATTGCATGATTCCTGAACTCCTTCCAGTCCAAAAGAACTTAATACTCACAGTCTAATATAAAGTAGTACCATCGGGGTTGCGTTCCACCATCACCACTACCACCACCCAAACAAACCCCCAGAAGCCAGGGAACACAGGCAACAGTAAGAAAATTAACTTCTCTCGGTCACTTCAGACATATTGGTTCTTCAGAATCTTTCTTAAAAGTCCCTGTAGCTTTGGGATGCCTGGGTGGCTCAGTAGGTTAAGCATCTGCCTTCGGCTCAGGTCATGATCCCAG